CTTAATCATCTAGAGATCTCTCAGAGCTGTCATCCCACCCTTTGTGGAACCAAGGCCAAGGTCAAAGTGTTTGTCATATGCACAATTAGGAAACGTGTTTCCCTGTATAATGAAATTCTTACTTTGCTGTCCACATGAATGCCACATAATAGAAGTGAAATATGGGTCTAAATCCATGCCAGTTGCTTTATAAGGCTGTTAAGATCAGTGGTTCTTTGAGCTAAAGGCTAATGTCAGCATGCTAATATGATCATAACATACCATGTCAATATTTAATCGGATATAATGTTTACTATATTCACCATCATAGTATGGTATAGTATGCTAACATCTGTGTCTAGCACTACAGTTGAGGCTGATAGGAATGTCAGAAATTTTGAAACTAGTGGGTCATAAAGTAAAGTAGTGGACAGACTGAAATGCTGACCTGATGAAACTTGAAGGGCTCATGAGAATTTGAATGTAGACCACAACATTTCATGGAGATGCAGTCAATAGTTTTTGAGACATTTCTCTTAAAACCACAAATGTCAATCTCATGGTGATGCTATGTCAGATAAAAACTCAGGTGATCACCAAAGTTAGTGGGATTTATCCTTTGAGGACTGTGAATTTCTTTATCTAGTTTCATGGCAATCCATCCAATGGCTTTTGGGTTATTTCTGTCTGAACCAAAGTGGTGGACTGACTGACAGACCTTGGCAACATTGCCATCCATGGAGCCATGTCATTAGCATGACTAAAAATCTTTGTTAACCTTTGCTTTACTCAACATACTGTACTCTGCATGCTCACTTGCAAGAACTCCATGCAACCAGTATCTAGGAATGTCACAATTAGTGTTTTGTAGTTTGGGGTTAGGAGATCCCCCCCCAAGGGTATTGTGACAGGGTCCCTTGAGCATTATATTAATTTTGTAATAATTAGCTAAATGTTTCATTTTGCAGCTGTTCTGAGAAAACCAGCTCCTGAACCTGCACCAGCACCAACTAGTTTGTGTCTGAATGACATGAGTGAGTTAATCTTGTAATAATTAGTTAAATGTTTCATTTTGCAGCTGTTCTGAGAAAACCAACTCCTGAACCTGCACCAGCACCAACTGTAGAAGAGAGTTTGTGTCTGAATGACATGAGTGAGTATGGCTCCACTGTCCCAACAATCAGCCCATCTCTCATTGCTCTCATCTGATCTTGTGTTTTGCAGCCTTAACCAGTATGACTTCATTTTTTTAATGATTAGTATTTGTGTTCAAACAGAAGACACAGGTGGCCCAGCGAATTCCTCAGCTGTTCCACTGGCACGTAAGTCCCCTCAGTGTTATCTTTCTCAGAATACTTGCCTACGCGCTGCACGACTGTAAATAGTGATCCTTTTGTTTACTTTTTTCCATGTCCTATAGCACTGGAGAAGATCACTCCTAGAAAAGCGCTAATGCCTCCAATTGCGGCTCTTCGTAAAATTCCCCCTGCTCCATCACCCAGAAACAAAATTCGTAAGATGGGAACCCACTCAGACACAACGTGACAAAGTAAATCCACATGTAGACCTTTTCATTTTTTGATTGTTTTTTTAACTTTCTTGCCACAGTATTAAAGCTTATTTTCTTGTATGCTCAAAAAGCACTAATGCCTCCAACTGCTGCTCCCCGTAAAATTTCCCCTACTCCATCACCCAGAAACAAAATTCGTAAGATGGGAACCCACTCAGACACAACGTGACAAAGTAAATCCACATGTAGACCTTTTCATTTTTTGATTGTTTTTTTAACTTTCTTGCCACAGTATTAAAGCTTATTTTCTTGTATGCTCTAGTTCATCCTGCAGCAATGTCAAGAGCTGAAACTAAAGTTGGAACAAAAGGCAAAGTGTCTCCTGCAACACTATCAGAGCTGAAACTAAAGTTGGAACAAAAGGCAAAGTGTCAAGACTGACCTCTCTTGAAGGGGCCATCTCAAACCCATCACCATCTCTGATAATGTGCCACAGCAGCTGACTCATAACAGTACAGAGACACTTCCCAGTATGTCTCTGCTACATAACCCAACACAGGAGACCAGAGCTTTCTGCACTATCACCCGTTTCTGCTTGTCATAGCTCAGCTCCTCCTCCTCGTCAGCTGGTTTCCAAGAGCAAAGCCTTCCTGAAGATTAACACTACTGGTTCACCCTTCTCAGACACTCTTTAGCAGATAAAATGACTGTAAAAGATGGGTACATGTCACATTATTGTCACCATGTTCCTTTTGTACATTTTGCACATTTTTCTAATCAGAATGTAGTAGATTTTTATCAGTGTTTTTGTCAGTTTTTAATGTAATTAGTTGTTGAATATTATATTTTTATATAGCTAGGATCTGCTCTGCCTTAAAGGCATGTGATGTCTATATTATGCACAATGTAATACTACTTTTCCATGTAATGAAGTAGAAGTAAACACAGGAATTACAGGTAGACTTTCACATACAGGAGGAATAGTAAAAGTGTTAAACAGTTCTTGCTTCTGTCACATCAAATCAGACAATCAGACAAGCGGCCTCTAGTATGTGCCATGTAGAAATCAGTCACTTTTATGATGCTTTGGACCCAGTCTATTACATGTTGTATACCTTTGTTTATGCAACAGAATATTTTTTTTTACTTTGTTTTATTTCTCACTGATGCAGAAATCTGTGAACAATGTGTTGTCACTCCTTTTATTTTACCTCAATGACTGATACTTAGTGGAAAAATTAAACTATAATAAATTGTGACTGTCAGAATGTGAAATAAAGTTAACAAAGCTCAGCTGGATGCTTCTTTAAAGCATTGCAGGCTATAATTACAGAGGGAGCAATATGTAAAAGAAAGACTGTTACGATGTGGAACAAGTAACATGGACTCTACTTAGAGGCCAGGCATTGCACAGTAAAGGACTGATTCCATCATTTTTCTTTCTCTACCTGATGGACCCCAAACCTGGCTCTCATAATACAGTTTGTTAGCCAAGGCTACGAGCTAGCTATTTGTTACATCTGGACTAAAGACAGCCCACTACTCATAACAGGATCTCTCTGGAGCAAATACAGTAGTGTTATCAAGTATAGACATATACATACTTCACATACAAGAATTATGGTGCAGTCATGTAAATAAAATGTATACAGTACTGTCATTTTCAAAATCCTGGAGGCTCTATAATGTCACTACAAGGAGTTAAAATGAGGAAAACTCCCAACTGAATCCAATTTAAAACATAAAGATCCTCAGCAGATGCAGGCCTATACTGAAATGCAGTAAGCACTGGCAAAGAAGAGTTTAATAAATCCTGATTCAGTCATGAAGAACTACATTCTACTGAGTAGAGCCGTGTAGGAGTGTCTTCTTGTTTGGGTTACATATGAGGAAGATTCAGCAGATGATGATTACCACTAAGCAACATTATAACCAGGTTATACTGACATAATATAGTGCTTTAAACTGAAATAGGGCTTGCAAGTAATAACATGTTGGAGATTACCAGATTTGGCCTAT